GTCAGGTGAGAAGAGAGCTGTGATGGAAACAGATCCTCCCACCTCTCTCCCCTGGATTTTGAAGGAAAGACGCAGGTCAAAAAAACTGACACTTGTTTTCAGCGTGCAAAAATATGACCGTGAAGTTGTTCTAGTAGTTTTAGAACACGTTTTTGGAACAAGAAAAACTCGAGGTAGGTGTCATAGGGGAGCGGCTGGGTAAGGATCGGTCCAGTGGTCGTGGCTGTGCAGGCATGCACCCAGCTGAATGGTTTTGGCTGTTAAAAGTTTATCCCTCTGAAAGCAGTTAGCCTGCTCTTAGGCAGGCAGGTTTGCATGATCAGGTCCATCATGACAGATCAAAAAATCCCTCAGGAAGCTTCTCAGACATGGGCATTGGGCATCTGTCATTTTCTCTCTCTTCCTTCCTCTCTTTGCCTCCTCCGTGCCCTTCCCATTACAAAACTGAAAACAGATGTGTCATTCTTTAAACATTGGGCTCTAAAATAGTAAAAGCATTGATAATAGCTTTTACTGAAGCCAAACACAGTAAAAAAATAAAAAAAGCTTCATTGGTCACTGCAGAGAGGGCTCAAGCTGCCCACTTGCATGCTGTATGTTGTTGTATACCAGCCCCACACAGATGGGAGCAACTTCACTTTCCCTGTCACATCATATCTTTGACTTGAAGTCAGTGAAGCTGTTCCTTAAATATTCAGTATTGCCTTAAACCAGGCCCGTGTCAGAACATGCGCATTACATAATATTTTCAATCCTTAAATCAAATGTATGTGGACCTTGCATTCACAAGCTGTGCTGAACTGACAGCAGCAGCAATGGGTGAACCCTGCTTTTAGTCATGGAAGAGATGAAATGCTGGCAGCTGCAGTGGCAGCTCTCCACACTGCAGTGTAGGGATGGTTTTGTGGCTTTTTGGTAACCACTGTGCAAGGCACGGCGTTTCTCCTCTGGGCTGAAAAGCTCCAGTGTGGACCCGTGTTCCTGGAGCCCTTCCCCATCCAGAATCAGGGCTGTGAGGCAGTGCCAGCCTGGGGCTTGCCGTTGCCTTTGCTGCCCTCTGGGAGCCTGTCCTCTAGTTGTGGCTTCACGGCTTTGGCAACAAAAATGTCCTCAAATGTCCCCCCACTTTGCTCTTCTCTTTCTTTTTTTCTTGTGTTTACTCTGCACAACGTGGTGTCTTCATCTGCCTGGCTCTGCCTGCAAAGCAGTTTGTGCTTTGGTTTGCCTGGCTTATGTTGCATAAATTACGGAAGTTTTCATTTAGCTTAATTTTAAAACAAAACAAAATTGGCAAGGTCTCTTGTCAGGCAGATCATCTCCCCAGTCTGTTCCTCAGGCGGTGGTACAGGAGTGAGAATTTGCTCAGTGGAGAGCAAGGCAGGAATCCCTGCTGAGTCCCTTGGGCCATGATGCCACAACCCTCGGGAACCTCATCCGTGGAGTTACAAGGTCAACGCAGCTGCTGGGATTTTTATTTTTGATGTGGTTTTTTTTGGAAATGATGCACTCAGGAATTTATTGGCCTTTCATATGTGTTCAGTTGATACAGCTGAGACATATTTTCAAGGCCAAAAAATGCAGAAGAGCCAGCAATGCTCCAAGCAGGTAACCTCCTCTTGCAGAGCCTTTCTGTGCTGAGGACAGCTCTGAAGAGCAGGGATGGCTAACATGAACTGGAGAAGGGGGCTTATCTCTCTGTGCTTGGCCACAAATTCAAAGCTGCCCTTGTTGTTCAGATATACCACAGCTTTTACAGCTGGCAAGGAGAGCATGTGTAGGTTGGGTTTCCCAGATGAGACTTGAGTTGGCAGATTGCTAAAGAGCAGACCAGTGAGTCCCATCATGAAACTGGTTTTATGTCCATGGGCTTTGAGGTGCCCTGGATGGAATCAAAGAGAGTTTCAGCTCTTGGTATATTCTTTGGAAGGAAATGGAGGAGCAAAAGCATACTAGCAAGTAACAATAGAAAGAGCAAAACCTGGTAGGGATTGAAAACAACACACAAGCATCTAGAACCAGATGTTGCACTGTGCTACATTTTACAGAGTTTGCATAAGTGCTTCCATACAGCGTGTGCCTGTGCCTCTCAGCTTCCTCGTACCTTCTTGGCACTGACTCTGGAGCACAGCTATGCTAAGGCACAGTCTCTGCCCTAAAGAACTGCACTGTAACTGGATGTGGCTGGAGGAGGCAAAGGGCACCAGGGCATGTATCGGATTGTTCAAGATTACACTGTGGAATAAAACAGATCAGTGGTTCCCGTCCTGCCTCCAGTGCTCTGCCTGTTGGGTATCAATATCATAGTGGAGCTTTTTTTGCTTATTTACCATTTTCTGTGAAGCTCGATGCTTTACAGGTATTGATTGTTTAAGCTTGGATTTTACTCTGATAAAGAAATGTTACAATAATTTTTAATACAGAAATTACTTCAAATGTGACCAGAGATAGCATAGCAAAGCAAGATAGCACAGGCAAAACCAAGATCTAAGCAAATCACTTCTTGGTATAATGTAGTTAAATGAGGCTTAAACATAAAAAGCATTAATTCAGCTTTTGTGGTGTGAATTGGTTTGGGTTTCTTAAGAAGCAGTTGAGAAAATACAGAATAGAATGGTGAACTTCTGGTCCTATTGATATGGATGGGAGCTTTGACCCTGAGCAAAGCTCGATTTCCTCCAAGCCTTCTGACAGCAGTGAGGCTTAGCTGCCCACCCTGCCCACGTCATTCTTGCTGCTGCTTTCCCTCCTTACTCACCGTGCAGCTTTCTCTGGTCCTGGATGTGTCATTGAAGTCACATCACCCCAGCACCCAGGGAGGAGTGGGATGTAGTAATGCTACTGCCAGAATCTGGGCCTAACTCGCATCTTGATTTTTTGATCTTTCGGTACAGAAGTCAGAGATGTTCTCTGGTGTCTGCTGTCTTAATCCACTGAAATAAGACTGGCCATGTGCTTAATTTTAACCACATGCTTCAGAGCTATGATGTCTTGGGTCTGAACAGGCTGAATTTAGTGCTTTTTCTCTGCCTTTGCTATTATTATTAAAGCTGGATGTTGCAGCCAGAACTTCTGGAGAAAAAGAGAGGAATTTACTATCAACAAGGCTGCTAGCAGTTAAATTGGCCTGTGCTAGACTTGGCAGAGCACATCTGCTGTGACTAGAGTGGGCTGACTGAAGGGGGTCCCAAACTTTCCTGGTGCTTCTGACTGTCTGCAGATAATTTTGTGCAGGACTGGGGAGTCATCTCAGCAGCACATCTGTTCCTACTGTGGACCTGATCCTGCATGCTTTCCGCATGCAGTTTGCCTTGGAAATTTTAAGCATGCAAGGCTGCAAGATTGGTCCTATTATGACAATTTCATGGCAGAGGGAAAAGAAACTATTTTTAAATGAAAGCTTGAAATCAGAAGAATATTGCAGAGTGCAGCAAAAAATTGTGTCAAAACCCTGAAATCATGGACTCGGCAGTTTCCTCGTGCCAGCGGTTTTTTTCTCTTCATGGTTTTAAGGCTATGTTTTTGGAGGACTGGGCTGAGATTTTTCTGTGAGACATTTCTATTCCCCCTGGTACACATTATCACAGCAGCAGCACTGTCTGTGTGAGTCAGGCTGGAGAGAGGGGATGTGCTGTGTTCACAGGGGTGGGATTTCGCAAAAACCTGTAGTTCTGCTGTGCACACAGTCAGAGTGGTTCTCCTTTAAGTTTACCCAGGATTTCATTATCCCTCTTCCCACCCCCAAATTGGTTTTATATTCCTACCTTGGTGTACGTTTTAAACTTTTCCTTCCAAGTTTCATTTCTCATTGGTCACTTGGGAAAAGCAAATAAGAGGAAGTGCGTGACTTCTTCTTAACATGGGAAAATTATGTCCTCTTTTCCCCATCACTCCATTTTGTATAGATTAAGAATGACCCAAAGGGCTCTTGCTCAGATTTTCATTTAAAACAAACCAACTGATTTGATTCGAGATCATTATTTCCCCCAAAAGCACTCTCAGAGTGATTTGAACATGTGAAAACAGGCAGTTTATAACCACAATTGTTTCCCTGCCTTTGATAGAGTGGTCACTAGTCAACAAAGGTAAAATTCACTACCTCAGAGGGAGATGCTTTAGTTAATTAGTTACAATCCGTGTTGTGCTAAGAGACTCACTGCTGCTTGCCCATATATTTGCTTGCTGATCTCACTCGCTGGCTTTGCTGATCCCAGTCCACTTGTTGTGGCTGGATTCCCATATGTGCCCTGGGAGGAAGTGGCTCAGACCACATCGGCACAGGGGAGGTGATGACGATCTTCTTCTTTGGCCATTTTCTGTGCTCTGGAAACCTGAGGGGCTGGGTGAAACCTACTTCACAGGTTTTGCTTTTCTGCTGGCACGAGGTTTGCCAGGCTTAGTCTGGGCTCACAAAGTGTAATTTTGATTGCACATTTTTGATACTGTTTTTTAACAATGTTTTCCCGTTTTCTTCTTCACCCACATGCGCATTTGCATGCTCCCGCAGTGCTGTGTGTTTTATCTGACTGCCTTCTTCCTCATTCCAAGGGGTGGATTTCCCTGCCCCTCTCTGACCACGAGCATGCAGCTTTTGGTGCTGTTCTGCATTGTCTCCACTGATCTTTTTTTGGGGCTGTGGGGTGTTGGCATTCTCCAAAGGCTGCCAGTGGGTAGCTGTGGCATACCGGCATACCAGCTCTGCCAGTGGTGCTGATGTGGTCTAGCCTAATGCTGCCCACACACCGTATTTGCAGAAACATGTCTCCTGCAGGCCTTTGTGGGCTTCTCTGTGGCCTGGGTATGTCACACCACACCATGTAAACCACCAGGCAAAGTTCAACCTGGTGCCGGGCAACACACAGGATCCTGTCTTACCCTGTACTGTTTGCATATGTGAGGTTAAATGGAAGGAAAAAACAACCCAACGTGCCTTTCGGTTTGCAAACTCGGAGGAGAGGCAGCTGAAAAGCCTGGCATTTACCCAGCTTTTGCTTTTTTTCCAGGCGACCTGGTGTCTCGAGCAATGCACCATCTCCAGCCCCTCAATGCCAAGCAGCACGGGAATGGGACACCGATGCACCAGAAGCAGGGATCATTCTACTGGGAGCCGGAGGCTCTCTACACCCTTTGCTACTTCATGCACTGTCCACAGATGGAGTGGGAAAACCCCAACGTGGAGCCATCAAAAGTCACGCTGCAGACTGAGAGGTAAGAGCCGCTGCACGGTGCTTAGCGTTGTGGTGAAGACTTTTTGTTAATAAATCAGCCCGGATGGCTAATTGCTAATTACAGCTTGTGCACGAGAGGCTGCAGAGCAGTCTGGTCTGGTTTAGGATCACCTCTTTGAAATCCGTTTCTCTCGCCGAACTGCTGCATGGCCGAACCAATATATATCAAAAGTGACACCCAGTGGCTACATACAGCAAATTGGTTCCAGATGTGCACTTGAGAGAGATTTCCTTTTCCTTTCGTTGTTGCTCAGCTATTCTGTGTTTTGGAAAAGAAAATGAGAACTTCTGTTTCTGGCCTAGCAGGTTTGGGTTTAAATGTGGGGTTTTTTTCTGTGTGCTAATATGGCTCAACAGCTGTGATTGGGGAAGTGGAAAATTAGTAGGGTGTAGTGTGTAGAAAGGAGAAGTCATTAAAGATACTGGTCTCCAGCCGCACTGAGTGCCCGGGCACAGGAGTAACCTCAGGGCTGCCCTGGCCAGGGACGTGGCAAGTTCCAGCTGTGCTGCTGTTGTCCCTGCCTTGGAGATGGTCAGGGCAGGGGAGGTCCACCTGGAGCCCTGCCATGACTCAGGCAGGGCTGATGTAAGGTGAGAAGGAGATGCCACTGAAACTGGCAGGCCAGCTCTGCACCCAGGCACCGCAGAAAGCAACCAGGACAGACTGCTGACCAAGAAAATAAATCCATGTCCTCTCAAAAGCCCAGAAAACCCTCTAGTAACACAGGTCTCCAACTGTGTGCTGGGACACACTCTGCTGTTTCCCTGCTGCACTTCTCACCAGCTGTAAACCAGGCATCCCCAGGATGGATGAGAGGAGCGGCTGGTGCTGGTTTGTTGGAAAGTGATGGATATTAATTTTTAGGGTGGGTATTGTCGTAATGCAAATGCAAGCTGATTTGTCAAGTTGGGCTCCACATTTACATCCCAGTGTCTGTATTGGGGTGTACACGTGAGCCAAACTCTGATGTGCACGTGTGCCCCGAGAGCTGTGCATATGTGGCTTGGTTGTTGTTTCAGTATGAGGTCTGTATCTCAAAAGCATCATTTGAGGATCTTATTGTATGTGTAGCTGTAAATGGTATATAATATGATATCTTAATTGAAATACTTTTGTATCATTCAGAGAAGAGCATACCAGATGAAACCCTGGCATTGACGATGTTACCGGGAATTTTGCCATTTGGCTTTGGATGGCATTTTGTTTCCTTTCAAGTTTAGGTCGCTCCATGGGCATGTTTGTCACTTTTTGTTCTGTTATTTCCAAAGTAGGAAAAAAATCAGAAGGGAATTGACAAGAATCCAGAAAATTTTTTTTTCCCCCAAATTATTTTTAATTTCATGATTTGTCATCCAGCCTTGCTATTGTGGAAGGCTTAACTCATGTCCAGGAGTGGTTAGTATGCCCCCCAAAAAATAAAAAATTTAGAAAATACCTTCACTTGATTTGTAGCCCCCATCTGTGGGCATAATGCCACTGGAACCAGAGGGAATATAGGGGTGACTAATGCTGAGCCTCTGGTTTTACAAGACTTTTCAGACTTCCCTGTGCAGAAGTGAAAAGGGCAGGAATATTTTAGCACTTGCTTTTAATAGGCTATCCATTCTCTGAGGTCGCCTTAATACAAGTCCTCTTCCTTAGAGCACTTGAAAGGCTGATTATTTAAAGCAATCATTCTTTGCTTTATTTTGAATACTCCGTCTGGCAGGACGTCTTCCTTTGGCAGGGCAGTGTAACGCCTGCGGCGTGCGGTGAGGGCCAGAGCAAGTACTCAGTGTTATTGCCAAGAGCTTGTGGTCACTTTTGGAAGGAGCAGATACATCTTCTGTTGCCTAATCAAACATGCGTTAGTACTTAGTGCTGGAGTGGGAGCGATGCAGGGCTAAGTGTGAGCCCGGATATTTCCATGGAGCTTGAGTTCTGGAGTTTCACCAGCTGGATGTAACCATCCTATACTCCTCAGAGAGGAGAATGGTGAAGCTGACTTCTCTTTAGTGCTCTAAGGAACCTCACTGCTCATTTCCCACCTTTTGTTTTTTATGTGCAAGCCTGCTTTGTGGTCCATGACTTAATTCTGGTGGTTTCAGTTTCCATGACGGGTTTTTGTGTGTTGCGGAGAGATGGGTTTGTTAAACATGACGCTTTTATATGCAGAATATTTGCAAGAGTTGTGGTGTATCTGTGTGACATATTCCCTCTCCAGCTGTGGCAATTGCTTTTACTTTGGAAGAAGCCCAGAAGGAAGCGAGGAGATCCAGGCATCTTTCCCCATCTCTCTTGTGTCCCTGCTGGTGCAGAGAAGCCAGGACTGTTTGGATCTGGCTCTAGGCAATATTTTCATGAAATAGGGGTTGTCCTTGGCTCTTGTGAAGCCAAGCTGGCTACTGACTTGGCCCCATTATCCTTGATGGTGCAGGCGCAGGGTGGAGAGGGTTGTGGGATGCAATCAGAGAATTTTCACAGCAGTTGCAGGGCTTGGTGGCATCATAGGACCATCCCCTCCTTCCCACCCAACTCCAGCCCACCTGGATTTCGGCTGAGTTAGGGAGCTGCAGAGGCTCTGCACATCCTTCTGCAGAAGCTGGATATGGGAGGGGAATCCAGTATGGTGGCATTGCTGCCTGGCTTAGCACTTTCCAGCTCAGAAAGCAGTACCTCCCTCAGAGTCTTGGGGGAGTCATAAAATGGGATTTTTACCTTTGACTAAATCCGGCACTTTGTTTCTAGGGAGCCTTTCGCTGTGTTTACTCTTCATGGAGGTAAAGAAATGAGAATGTGGTATGTTTTAATAGTGTTTGTCTTTACGTAAAATGAAACTGAAAAATTACATAGCAAAACTTGTTGCGGGGGGGTAAATCTGCTTTCATGGTCGAGCACTGCTTTCATGGGAGGGGGAGGAGGTGGAAAGAGGCCAGGTTTGCTCAGAAAACCTGGAAAATATTCCCCACTTTCTAAATGCCAACAAACCCAACCATAAGGTGGATGTGTGATCCCCTCCCACCCCAAATTTATATTCTTTCAATCTGGTCACTTTGGCAGAAACTCTCTGATTTTTTGGCAACAATGGGTACCATGTAGATGGTTATTTTAGCAGGCATGGAGGTATGGAGAAGGGGTGGACCTGTTCGTGGGGTCCCCTTTCCTTAATGCACCCAGCCAGGATGTGATGGAGCCATTTATCTTGTGCTGGGTGTTTCCTCCAAAAGCAGTGCTTCTCCAGTGCCTCCACCTGCAGTGGGTGTGGGTTATTTAGGTTTGTTGGTTCTTTTGCTTTCCCGGGAATTGAAAAAAAAGAGAAGGAACTGTACATGAGGCTACTGTTGCCAAGATTTCTTTCTTTCTTACTGCTTCTAGTTTAATAAAAAGATCTGTCCCGTGGTTGTGTTTTGCTTCTCAGCCTCTGTAATGCTTCTAAAAATATTGCAAGTAATTTCTTAAGCACCGGAAAGCGCAGAATCTGTAGTTGCAGATTTGTGTGATGTTTTTTTCCTTAAGTGGTTCCTTACCCACTTTTATCAACAGCTGTATTGACAAAGTCCTCATTACTTCCTAACTTGCCATGTTCCCCATTAACAACTCATTGAGAAGCTGCGGCTCAGCAGCTCAGCCGGTCCAGAACCACCCATTAATTCTGCTCACAGACAGCAGAGTTCCTTCTCCAGTGCTTCCTCTGCTGCTGCACCTTGCAGGAGCATTAACTCCATGTACCACCTGGCAGCCATTAGTTTTTCTCCTTGAGTCTTAATTGAGTTGATGGATACGTGTCTGGTTTTAACCTTCTTTTTACTTTTCCTTAAATACTATTCCCTGTATGTGGAGCAATCCCTTAGGAAACTCCCGTGGGCTATTATTGATTGCTTTTTATCTTTCTGCCTGCCTTGCACGTTCACGTGGACACACACACACAAAAAATATGTGTCCCCTGCACATGTGTATGTGTGCAAATTGTAGCCTGTAATCATTTCTGATTATTGGAAAGAATTTGGGTTATCATCTGAATTTTGTTTCATGCTCCGGATAGTTATTAGTGTACCTGGCTAATTAATGTGGTGCAGCCCCCTTAATGAGAGAAGTGTTCCACTGCTATAAAAAAACTTGAACTCTTTCAAAACATTTTCGTAACTGCTACAGCCATGTCTGCAGTACAGATTATACCCACAGGACAGTTTCAGTAAAAAGATCACTAGGGAAATGTGGCCCTGATCTAAATTATTATGTGGTACAAATTCCATGGATAGGGCAGTCTCCAGCAAAGACCACAGAGAGTGGAGGGAATGGTGGAGAATGCTAATGAGAAAAAGGTAAAGCACTGGGAATATGGAAGTTCTGCTGTGAAACCCGAATGAATCTGTATATGCAGAAGGGATTACACATGCTTGATGTGCCAGTATGCCATAGTCCCATGTAACCCTATCTATTTTTATCCACTGTTTATTGGAAACTTCTAATGGTAAAGCCGTAGCCTTGCTGAATCAAATTTAAGACTAGAGTTGATTTGACTGGGAACCACTGAAAAGAAATCCAAATACATCCTTATATAAATCCTCTAGGTTTGCATCCTAAATATCAAACTTCCCTTTTTAAAAATCCCTTCAGCAATGGTATTGGCAGCTGCCTGCAGCGTGTGAGACAGCACGTCATGAGCAATAGCTCAGGCAGTATTTGTAGCTCAGCTGTTACAGGGCACGTCCTTGCTGGGCTGGGGTTGTATTCTACATCTAATTCATCAAGCTGGACTTAGGGTGTCCATGGGATGGCTATAGGATTTTTTAAATAGAGAAAATTGTGTACAGCCCTATGATAACAGCATGGTATCCAGGCCGTTCTGTGCTGCACTTTGAATGATGGTGTCTCCTCAGGGATTTATGCCACTGCCAGTAGTGTCAAATCTGATGTCAAAACTGCCAGTGAAATATCTCCCCATTGTGATTGTTGGCTGAGTCATCACTTTGACTCAGTCGTGTTTCAAGTCTTGGCCT